CCTTATTTTCAATAAGCAATCCTGAAAAATATTTGGGGGTGCTTAACTTTTTTCCAGGTGTATATATCTTTAACAGTTTTTAGGTTTGTTGTTTTCCCTGGGAGGACACATGAGACTGCATAAACTATGGCTAAATCCAGTAGTTTCCAAATGTGTATATACACATATTGGAATGAAAGCTTTATTTTTCAAAAGTAGAATGATGAAGTATTGATAATTACATTAGCAGGCTTCTTTTGTTGACCCTATGGTTGCATAATCCCCTCTGAAATCAAAAAGACTAGCTTGCTGTTTATGCAGCTCCTCTGTTTTATGAGTAAGCCAGTAAGCATAGTTATCTATGTAGTTTGCTTGCTTTGATCTGAAGTTATTGATAATAACTAATTTAATATAAAAAACACAGAGTATTCTTAATTCAAAACAACTATAATAAATAGTTATATACATATATACAAGTGGAACAGATACTCCTTGTCCAGGTCTCCTGTTTTCTTCACCAGTTCTAATATCTGTGTCTTCAGGAGCTCCCAAAGCATAAGCTATTACTATTAAACATGCCTTCTAATAAAGTAAAAATCATTAAAAGTCAAATAGCTGTTTTTTTGCATTGTGAATTAGCAGACTTCTCCTTACTAACCAAGATAGTAATGACAACAACAAAATCTATAATATTTCATTACAGACAATAATGTGACAAAGGCACATGACTCTGACAATATGTTACTAATCTTCAGTGTTTGCCTTATTAACATTGAATGAAATTAAGACTATTTTGTCTTACAATAAACAATCAGTGGAAGTGAGTGTTAATGTTTTAAATTAAATATCCAAAAGTTTCAATCCACAACTGTAAAATTTTAATCTTAATAAATTTGTGCACTAACAGAAACCTGGCATGCTTTATAGTTTTAAAGCATCAACCTTACAATCTGGTAAATATGCTTATTGTTTTAAAAAGTAGCTGTTTTACCCATAAATTATCTATAAAATAACATCAGTAACAAAAGCCGCAAGTTTTCTGAATTACAATTAAAAGTTAAACCTAGCATACATCTATATATATATATATTGTCAACTCCATCATTTCACATCAATAACAATAAATGATCAATACCATTACATTATCAACTTTTTTTATACATCCTATCTCATACAATGTGTTAAAACTGTTTTTTGACACGAAATTATTTTTACTCATGTTTTACTGATAACATATACTTATATATATATATGAAAACAACAAATTTTGTAATTGAAATTGTTTTAATGTATTTTTAAAATTATGTTATTTGAAAACCAGACACTTTGTGTGAACAGATAAGAAATACCATAAAAAATAATTAAGTTGATTGATTACCTGAACCTCGCTTGGTGTGAAGTACAGATCTCTAATATTGTTGTTGAAAATTGCTTTTCTTGATGAATGGTGTTTTAACACATGATATTTTATAAGTGGTTTCTGTGTATGGCTGGTTTTATGTTATTGAATTGCAGTGCTTTTTTATCTCCTTAGAATTTTACTTTTCTACTTTTTCAGTAGTGTTTCAGTTTTTTCAACAAACCTGTTGATAATGCACTAAGAAAAGATAATTAGAAGGTTAAGGAAAGACTGCAAATATACAGAATATTAGCACTTAACCATAGATTAGCACTTGACTATAGATGTCAACAGTTTTTAGAAATCCCTTGTGAAAGGAAGGAGTTTTAAAAACCCTTATTTGTAGAGGATTTAGATTCAGATATATGAGAAAGTAATCCTGTTGACAGCTATAAAAATTTTCCAGTTACCATAATTCACTAATCTGATTAAACCATGTCCAAGAATGTTGAAACATTATTTTATAATTAATTATACTTAGATAGACTCTTAATTTAGTAGTAAATTCCACAATACAAAGAAGTAAAAGTTATTTTATGTGCTTAGTGATGATATTCACATCTGTAATTACTGAATATTGGTATAAAGTATTGGAAATAGTTATGGGAACAGTGAATAGAATGGACATAAATACAAATATTGTTGGATTGTCTCTCTATTGTTTGAAAATCAACTGCATCAGAGTACAGCCATTTTTTGATAATTTACACTATGATTGGCTGTCCTTCAACCAATCAGACAGTGCTACATCAGCATGATGCCTCTAAAACTACAAGAAATCATATTATTCCCAGCAGTAATGTACTGAATGTACTCATGGCTTCCAGGACAGAAATGCCATATGTGACAGATTGAATTGAAATTCTATGTTTAGGTAGAAATTACACAGAAACTCTAAAGGGGATACATGAAACTGTTAGTGTTGTTATTGGAACCAAAGTAAAAAGCATAAACTCTTAAAAAAAGAGTATGTTCTTTATGTGATGCATGACAATCCAGTAGAAATTTCATCAATGACGTAGATTAAGTACAAGTGTAAATGTTACCTCCAGAACAGTAAGGTTCACATTTAGCATAAAGTGGCTTGAACAGATGTGTAGGCTCAAAAATCACTACTTAGGAGAGAGGACCGAACAAGACTGAAATGGGCATCAACATATGTGGTGACATTCCAGATCTTATCGTATAAGGTCTGCACTTTTATACTATGTTTTCTGGTAAAATCTTTCAATGTTTGTTGAAATAGTTTTTGCGAGTGTCAAGTGAGTAGTAATAGTATGTTACTTCCTTTTCTGTTGTTCAGTTTCAAAATAACAGTCTTTAATGTATTGAATATATGTGACGGTATAAATTCTTCCCGAGGAACTTCAGCGATACAAGTCCTTTCTTAAATAAAACTAGTTTATTTTTTCTCAATACAACTTTGCAATACACTTAATTTCCACAGTCACTTTAACTTAGCTATAATTCACACTTTACTTATGGCTTGACTCGATTATCTGTTTGTATATCTCTCTATCTGCAAAATTATCTCTCCGCTTTATTTGCCAGACTTATATACTAAAATAGAGGGCGTCTGGCAAACACTCGGGCCTTCATGATCCTTCTAGAAACTCATCACGTGTTACCAGCGTCACGTGACTTCCACTGTCGTAAAAAATTTTTATTCACTTTCTTGGTAGAATACACCAAGCATTAGATTATATAATTGTTTTGGACTCCAGTTCATTAAAGTGGAGTATTTCAGTTTTTTGGAGTTTTTTTTAAGGCACTTCTAGTAGATATGTCTTTGTAAGTACCATAGACTTGTCTTTGTAAGTACCGTATATTTGAAAATGGGGATGTTTTGTTTTTAATTTCCAAACAAAAGATTAAGATACTTTTGTGGGTGTTAAATACATTTAACACAGGGAGTAGACTATTTATCCTTGAATTTCTTGCCATTATGTGTATAAAATACATTTATTATAGGGGCATAAAATGTATTTTTGAATTTTCTGTCAAGCCAAAATAAGTATACCTAATATTTATATCTACCTTCAAGATATAAACTTTAAAAGATGTGGATCCCCATGTATCTTTCTTATTGATGTTTCCTTCTTCATTCAGGTCTAAAAGTGATGATTGTCTGTTTCGAACATGAGTTAGCAGGAGAATGGTATAAGATTGCTCGTTGTATCCGTGAACTTGGAAACAAGCTGTTTGGTAAGCGTTTAATAACTTATACTCTAATAGGTAAGTAAACCTGAATCAGGTAAAGTAGAATATCTTTTATTAAACAATATGGTATTGTTTTGATTTGAATTACTTGATCACTAAAATCTTCAAACTTCAAAATAATATAATGTGATCATCAATAAGTTATTATGTAAGCTTTAATTAAATGATATGTTAGTGCTTGGATCTGAGTTTCTTGATCACCTTCATATTCTTACTTCATCATAATCTGAATGATATACTAATGATTAAATTAACATATACAAACAATGTTGTGACTTAGAAAGTGATAAATTTGTGATTTATTACACAGGCCTGCAGTGGTTTTATTGTCTTGAAATTTTTACATGTTCTACAGTAATTCCTGCACGCTGAATCTGAAAATAATATCCATTTTTCTTCATCACGTACAGATTTTTCACAAAACGTCATATTTACTTTTACATAAGTGAATAATTTTCATTCAAATCAGGTCACATTTTATATGCTTAAAATGTTGACAACCACTGGCTATAGATTT